AATTATCAGCCATTTCCACATCGATTGGATTGTTTTGATTCTGAGCGCAGTTTCTGCTGGCCTGTTCCATAGCTTGGGAGGAAACAGCAAAGGCACCGATGTCTGGGACGATTTCATCTTCAGACAAGGGCTGCTGTTCAAACTCGACAGAACTTCCGGTGATCAGTGTGGCTTGAGGGCAGGGACTATGCTCATCGGAGCATATGATTCTTTGCGACATTGAACGGAAGTACCGAAAAGGATGGCAATAACGCCCAGAAACAGTGCTTCCAAGGCGATTTTTGATGCGATGCAGGAAGAGAGAGGATATATCAGGCACTTTTAATTATGACGGACACTCTTTAAGAAGATATTTTTGATAACGATTGGAACAGTCATCTTTCACGTCACAAAAAAGGATCCAAAAATTAAGGAGATCTTGTGTTTTTGTGATGTTGTAGACGAGCTAGGGATACTCACCCAGGACACGTCACAAATGGTGTCCAAACTCACAAACTATTCAAAAACGTGTTTGAAATAGGAGGCAGTGTTGTGCACTGTTCCATCAATTTAGAATGCTCGTCCATCGCTGGAAGTCCACTGTACGGCAAAATTCACCAAAACCGTCACAAATTTTTGTGACCCCCAAAACCACCACAAACGGGAACATAGGGATAGGTATGGAGATATTGAATCCAGTAGGACAATTGGGAGGGCCTAATGCAATCGAATGGGCGCAACTTCCGTGCGAAATTGGTGCAATTAGTCGAAAACGTGTCGCACGTGCTTGACTTACTACTAGAACTGGGCGGAATAGGGGCTCGCGGTCCCTAGATACTGTGGTCAGTTTCTTCTTTCCGGAAGAACTAAGTTTCCTATACACAATCGGTAGACTACAGTTTTGTGAAGACCAAGAATGGAACGATGCAACTTACAAGAGTGCCCGTAAAATCTGCGGTTTGAAGCCGCGTCGCGCATATTTAGACATCGCTTCGCTCTCATTACGTTATGAAGAAACATCTTGCACAACATCAGGATGTGAGAGTTTCGAATACAGTATAATTATAATTGAAACCCCAAAAAAGTCAATGAGGTACAAGGGTACGATCCACAAAAGCCATGTTGAAAAGCGGCTCCTTATTAGAGCACCTCCACCGGCGGAGCCTAAATCCTAAAATCGCCTGCCACATGTTTTACGTTTACTGGTCAGCCTAAATTCAATTTTTTGGGGCGATTCTCAAACGTTTTCTGCTCCACCGGTGATTGCTCATTTAGGAACACGCGATGCTTGCATCGCCAGAATAGTACCAACACGTGTGGTACACCTCACACGTGTTGTTGTGTCAAACAACCCAAAGAGAGAGGTCGGTATTTCTGATCGCGCTACCGCAGTGCAATTTCAGCTCCGCGTTGAAGCTAGACTCAAATGTCGTCGTCGGGGAGTGAGGAGGAAGTCTTTATCGCCAGGGCAGTCGCGACTTCTGCAGCAATCGCTAATCAACTTCTCGCACGATCGCAGGAACGAAAACATGGAGGATCCCTGCCCGGAAAAGCTCCAAACAGAAATGAGCTTCGACACCGCATAGCAGTTCAAATCGACCGAAACTACTTTTGTAGATTCACACAAGGCGTGCCTTTCTTTTCAGATGCGGAATTTGAACGACGCTTTAGAATGTCACGAGCCGTGTACGAAGAAGTTAGAGATGCGGTCTTGCAAGCAGACGACTACTTCGTTCAAAGCCGAGATGCCACTGGCAGGTTGGGAGCTACCTCAGACCAAAAGATCATGTCAGCGCTTCGACAGCTTACGTGTGGAATATCCGCAGACGCTGTGACTGAAATAGTCGGGCTAATGGAGTCCAGCAACGCTGTGTGCCTTAAGCGTTTCTGCGAGGCTATAGTTGATACATATGACGCAGAATGGTTGCGGTCACCGGATGAGCATGAGATTCAGGAGATTGAGGCTGCTTACAAGACACTGGGATTCCCAGGATGTATTGGCTGTCTCGACTGTGCCTCCTGGGAATGGGACAAGTGTCCGGTCGGATGGCAAGGAATGTACAAGGGAAAAGATAAGAAACCGGTCTATCTGATGGAGGTAATATGTGATGACCGTTTGTATATTTGGCATGTCATGTTTGGGAGTCCAGGTTCTTAAAAATGATATCAACATTATGCACCAAAGTCCATTGTTCAACTCTATGATATCAACATTATGCATCAAAGTCCATTGTTCAACTCTATCAGGACAGGGGCATGGCCCCCGATCAGACCCGAGACAGAGGTAGCTGGGATGAAACTGGATTGGTATTATTACCTTACAGATGGGATTTACCCGCAGTATAGAATCTTTATGTCATCAATAAGTGAGCCAGTCACGAAGAAGGAGAAGCTATATTCTTCATACCAGGAGGGAACACGTAAGGCAGTCGAAAGAGTTTTCGGGGTTCTTTTTCAACGCTTTCGATTACAGTACCAACCCTCAAGACTTTGGTGCAAAGAAGATATGAACTCGATCGTGAGAGCGTGCTGTATTTTACACAATAAGATTGTCAAGAGTAGACTTCATACGTACAACGGAACGGCAGCTTTGAGGTTTACAGATGAGGAGACTACTCTTCCAAGTGATATTCAAATTGTATCAACAGGAGAAGGAACTTATGAGCAGGCATCGTTCTGGCGCAAATACATTGATCCCTTTGAGAAAACTACAGAGCATGTGAAACTGAAGAATGCGCTCGCTGAGCACATATGGAATCACATTGGAGACGAAAGTGATTCAAGTCAGTGAATTAGTTGCTGCACTCTGACGTATGTTGTAATTTCTCAATCGCCCGTCTAGGTAAAGTACTGCGCACTTGTCTCATTATTCCGCCTGCACAATCTCACTATCGTACTCCCGAGGCGGTTGGGTGAGCATGTCAGAAAGGCTAAGACCACGTGGGCCAACATGGTACCATTCTGAGGCTCAGAATCTTCATCGTCAGTCATACTCTTTCCATTGCTTTCCACCCTCGCCCTTTTGGTAGTCTGGCCTGACCTCTCTGCGGGCCCAGCTTCATGATCTGAAGTTTGTCCATTTATGGTTGGGGCTGACGCCGGGGCTGACGTCTCGATATTATCGGGACTCGCTGCCTCTGACCGCTGCTCATTGACATCACGATTGGGAGGTATATCACGAGAGGCATCTCGAGATGACGAGCCACGGAGCTTGTTACTGCAGGTTCCTGCTATGCCCTGGGCATTATATCCCTCATTATCTGCTTCATTCATTGAAATTAAAAGCCGTTTGCGCAGCAGCCGCTTACCCATCATCCGTTCCTCGTCAGTTGCATCAGAATCCTTCGCAAAAAGTAGAGATTCAGCCATATTTCAGTCCAACCTCCTCTTTGCAATTAACAGTTCGCGCTCCTTGGTTGTCGCTTTGCGCTCCTGGGCGGCACTGTAAACTTCATTGAAGTTTTCTACGGACTGTGCAACCCTACCTGCACTTGATTCCATGGAACTTTTCTCATTCGATTCCTTTTGCTTGATCCTCTTAGCGGCCTTCCTCCCAATAGGACGTTTGTCACACCTCTCGACAGCAGCTGTATCAATACAAGCATCTGTTTGAATGCCGGACTCATCCGCCTCCCCATCCCCTGGACTCTGATTTGCCGGCGTTCCAACATCTCTATTCTCCGTAACGCCTCCAATTTCCAACATACTGGTGTGGGAGGATAAAAAGTCATAACAACTCTTGTATAGCAACGGTCTGCCGATTCTGTATTTTGGGTTACGGATAATGTCATACACATGAGACGTGAGGTCTCTGTCATTATAAACAGCAACCACACATCTCTCGACCTCAGCCGTTCCTGGCGCGCCAGTCAGGCTCATAGAGCTGATTCTTTTCACGGCGTCGTGGTAAGCAGTACAGAGTGATTTAACTTTGCTCCACATCTTTAAACAAAACTCTCGCGTTCGCCCGTTCCAACAACGTTCATCCAGCGGTCCTCCATTTCGACCACCGGAGCAGGCAAGCGGCGGCCTTTTATTGTCCTTCAGGAACTCCTCCCTTATTTTCTTGCTGTATACCGCTGACTTCATCCCTGCGCCATAAATAGGCGAGCCTCCGGCCACGAAAGCTGCCTTACAAAGGGCAAAAAGCTCCTCATCTGACCACGATAGACCCTTTCCCTTAGCATTCGCAGGTGACCGGGTGGACATGTTGTGTCTCAAGAGGTGTATTCGAGCTGTATTCCAATAAAAGATGGGAAAGATTGTGGGTTCACGCGCCGAGGGGATGAGTCTTGAGTTTCGATGCCGTCTGTCGAGAACGTCGGCGAAAGAAATAAAGTATAGCGAGCGCAGTGCTGCAGCTTCTCTCGAAAGTTTGCTACTTGCAGTGATCGGACACAGAACTCGTGATCCACGAAGTCGACAAAGTCGGCCGAGGTCGACCTATTTTAAATTTGTTTTATTGAAGCAAGAAATGGCCCCCAATGGTTAGGTTTGGGTGTCATGGTAGCCCAAAGTTTTCCATTTTAGGTCTGGAATTGGACCAAACAAAAAAGTTGGGAGCGCACCCCGCCACCCAGTGGGTTTGGTCCGTGCCGGTGGAGATTAAAAACACCAGGTGGCCCCCAAAAAAATCGTTTTACGTTTTAGGTGGCATGGGTGGAGATGCTCTGAGCCCATTACTATAAGTAAGAAACAATACGCGCTTCGTTTGACACGTGTTCATCATCTGAATGCGGCTGGAAGCTGGAATGGCACATTTGCACTATTGTAATACGTGTACACGTGGATTTATCGAGACTTAGTTGCAGCGGCACAATAATTACAGACACAATTACTGTAAGGTCGGATCATAGGGAATCTTGGAGCGGCCCTGATCCAATTCTAATAGTCTTTGTCTGTAAGCATTTGGCTTTCGCAACCCTAATTGGGTAGTTTTAGGAAAAAGTTTCGACCCAGGCGCACGGCGGCGAACACAGGAACCCAATGCAGATCCATTCGTGGGGTCAACACGCCAGCGCAACCTCTTCGAACAACTCAGCAGCATCCGTCGTATCACCTTCAACCATCCGCCACGCCTTTCGCTCCTTGCCGACTCACGCACGGACGCAAGAGGATCCAAAAGGTTAAGGCGTACGAGTTTCCAGAAACCTTCCCACCATGCCGGTATGTTTCTTGCTTTCATTTTTGAACTCGTGGCTGTAGGCGATTGAGGTCGTGCAGTTGCGACTACGACGGAACGGCGATATCGGCTGCGGGATTCTACATTTTCCAGGACGCGTGCAGAAGGCGAGAATGCTTCTGTTAGCTGCATAGCGGCAGAAGCATTCCCCGTCCCGTCTGGAAGGCCACAGAGCAGCTGCCGAAGCCCCACCCCCATGAAGAAGTTGGGTCGATTATCAGCTCGCAAGCGATCTAACGTTCCTCTTCTCATTCTCTCACCCCCTTTACACCTCAGGCCCTCGAAACCGATCTTTTGAACCCTGACCATGCGGTCGAAATGAAGAAGCACAAGCTCAAGCGGCTAGTACAGTCGCCCAACTCATACTTCATGGATGTTAAGTGTCCCGGTTGCTATGTCATCACCACTGTTTTCTCCCACGCCCAGACAGTAGTAGTATGCGGAGACTGCACCATGGTGCTTTGCCAGCCGACAGGTGGTAAGGCCCGCCTCACTGAGGGCTGCTCATTCAGAAAGAAGGTCGATTAAGGACAAATTTTTTGCTTTTCATGTGTGCTGTTCGGCTCCGGGAGATATGCTCACTTTTTTGAAGCGCTGGGTTAAACAGAATGGTCTAGACTTGCTGTCGGTTGTCTGAATGGCGGTCTGAAGAGTTTGTTGCGAGGATGTGATAGATTGTTCCACTCTACGTGGAGCTTTGTGTTTGTTAACCTATGCGTGGTCGAGCTCTTTATAGTCTTACTCCCCGCTCTTACTCCGCGCCCTTGTAGAGTATCCTGCGGCCGTACGGCTGTTTTAGTGTGGCATTGCAAGGACAGGCTGAATATTACGTAAAGAAAGGTCGAGAGGTATTGTTTTCACCTGACACCAGTTTCACGTGGAGCCGCGCATTGCTACGATCGAAAACAAAAGCGAATGCAAGCGTTTTCCTGAACATAGACGACGCAATACATGCTGATCTGACTTGCCATCGATGCAGCGGACAGAGCAGAGCAAATGCGGCGGGCGGCGGTACTACTGTATGAGGTTTACGCACGCCTTTGCAATCGTACAGGAAAGCAATTCACAGTTGAACCCGCGGCTTTCGGGCCTATCTGTTGCGAGTTAAGCAGTCGATCATGAATGAGTTGTTCTCAGCTACACTTGACATGTTAAAAATGGGTCTGTCCGAAATGCGTTTGTGTGCAGGCCCACCTCAAAGCGTGTCGGAGGTCCAGTTTGGAGAGAGTATAGAAGCAAGATGTGTGCAGAGAGTAGATGAGAATTGGAAGGGGGAATATATTTGGCGGTGACTAAAAAACAACGCGTTGCTCGCAGCTCAGAACATATCGCAAACGTGCATAAAAATATCGTGCTTGGTGGTTTAATTTTAAAAACTTTTCTAAGAGTTTCAGTCGGACAACACCAGTCACGCACCACTCTGCCCCGATAACAAGAGACCGCGATTGTCTCCCGCACTTGCCCACAAGCGGCACTTCCGGACACGTCCCAGCGATCAACACCTTTGTAAGTCGCAACGATTCTCTCCCCGAGCCTCAAGCCGTGCCACTCACCCACCTTTCCAAAATGAGCTCCCCGGCGTCCGAATTCAACGTGACCAGCAGCAAAGAGAAGCCGACAGCGTCCGACTCGTTGATGAAAGTAACGAAAGAAGCTACCGGCCCCTTTCTGTCCGGCGTGATGCAGGGTTTTGCTCACGTGGCGGTAAAGCGTGTGCGCGAGTGGCGCGAGGAGCGCCGGAAGGTGCGAGAGGAGGCGGCGGCAGCGACGGCGACGACGGTGGCGGCGGCGGCGGCGGAGGAGATCGAGAAGGCGGAAATATGAGGCTGCAGAAGTGAGCGGCGCGAGGCAAGGAGTCGGCTCGGGGTAGGTGGCGAGGAAATGTGACGGTGGAGCGGGCGAAGGGGGCGGTCAAGAGGATTCGGGAGGGCGGACGGCCGCGCGCTTTTGGGCGCTGATAGCGAAGTAGGCAGCGGCGATCGAGGATGGGACTATCACGAGCTCCATCCAGGTGGCGGCGCGAGAGACATAGGAGCGGAGGTAGGCGGAGACCATGGTGACTTGAGAGGGGAGGAATGCGAAAGCGGTGGGATTCGATGGTGCGAAAGAGGGCTTGGTGGTGGGCGATGGCCAGAAGGCCGCGATATGGGAGGAAGATGCATGTAATTGGGCATGTAATTGGGCATGTAATTGGGCGGTGGAATGAATTAAGATTTACTGATTTTACTGAGTTTTGTGTAATTGCGTGCACTTTTCGCAATCTGGTTGCGCTCAGATGTTCTGCTTTGCCAGTTGGCGTCGGTGGAAAGGGTTTCAAAACCCTTTGGTTTTGACCCCTGGTTTTGAAACAAGCGATGCATGCCGCAATGATTAACAAACGCTTCGATGCGCGGGTTGTAAGATAGGGTTACCCAGCAGGCGCAGACGATGGTGAGAAAGGTGTGGACGCGGGACATGCCGTCAAGGTTGGACACCGACCCGCCTATTTGGTACAGTATTCTGTGTGCATCAAGAGAGATGAGGACAATACACGTGTACGAGATGGGCGGGCCCTTTTGCTCTTGGCCGATTGTTGACAACGTTTGTCAACAGCTTTATATTTTCCTAAATTACAGCAAAAACTTCGCTGTCACTCTTGAGCATTGCAAAAATTGATCCTGTCTCCCTCCCTCTCCCCGCTGTCTGCACCCCCATCCTCCGCACCGAACCTCACTCTCTCACCTCGCCCCTCACCATGGGCAGGAACGACGCCATCGACACGATGGACCTCACACTGTCCGACTCCGATGCGGACCGCCCTCTGCGCTCGCGCACCTCCCGTGCGCGCCCGCGCTCGCGCTCGCGCGCACGCTCTGCTCCGCGCACGCGGTCTCCGCCCCCGTCGACACCCTCGTCTCCACCGGACGTCGTCTCCCGTCTGCACGACCTGCAACTCCCAGGCCGCCCGCCTTTCCTCATGCGCAACCTCTCCTACGTCGTACGCGACCGCCACCGCGCTCGCGGCGCCCTCTGGGACATCCGCTGGCTCACGCCCTCCGCCCGCTCCGCCTCCTCCCCGCGCCATCTCACCCTCACCCTCCGTCCGTCCAACTGCCGTCTGCGCTTGGGCGTCGCTGCCCAGCTGCTCCACCCTAACCGTCCGATGTCCAAAGTCTTGGAATCCCCGTACGTTCCGCCCGCAGCCCAGCTGCGCGTTTCGCTCGTCCTTCACACGGACACGGGCCGCGTCGCCTTCGGGCATCGCGCCGTCACCGTCAGGCTCTGGCCTGCTGAGCATGTTGAGAAGGGCGTCGAGGTCCAGGACGTCGCCGCCGCGGTCACCTTTGACTTGTCAGCCGCTATTGCGCTGCGCGGCGCCACCCCGTCCGCCTTGTCTCTTCTACTCCAGCTGACTTCTAATTCCGACATGGCGAAACAGGAAAATGCACATCCGGCTACTCTCAGGGGCGAGCTTCTGCTTATTGATCGTGTTTTGGGGGATAAACCGGTCCCGAACGGCCGCGTTTCAGTCCCGATGAGGTTTGCATCGGCCGACGCTTCGCCCGTGCCGCCGAAGCCACAGGGCAAGACCCCGTTGTCGAGAGAGCATTTGCTTGATGAAGACTCATCGGAGGAGATCACTTCAGGAGAGGAGCGGGTCGCGTCGACACGAGCGCCTCGTGCGTCAGGGAAGGCGCGGGGCAAGGTGCCCAACTCTTCGCGGCAGCCGGATGCGACGATTGTGCTTGATGTCAGGGGCGCTATTGAACATGCCAAACAGGCCCTGGCGTCTCCAGAACGACCGAAAGTGTTCATCACGTGCTCGTATACGTCCAAGGAAAACCCGGTCTGGAATGGCTTGGTCAGGCACGACTTTATTTGTCCGTGGTGCCATCGCAACTGCTATCGATTTCGCACTCTGCTCAATCACTTCCAAGTTGAGCATGATGATATGGGCTTCGCTTTGGAGGGACTGCCTGGTCCTGGCTCAGGTCCTAGCAACGCGCATGTGCAAGGAGTACCCTTCACGCTGAAGTTTGAGGTTTCGGCGACAGGTTCGCGCTCTGAAGAGAGGGTGCGTAGAGAATCGCAGAAGAGGAACGATGGAAAAGATGGCGAGCGCGGTCTGAGCCATCCGATGAGTAACGAGGATTTCGAGGATGTTTATGTGAATCCATATAAGTACCCCTTTTTCGGAACTTCAACTCTGGAAGAGAAAAACGAAAGCGGAACGGATATTGCTCGGAACGGTATGGCAAGGGTATCGCTGGCAGATACGGAGGGCAAGTCGCAGAGCGACGCTGAATCTGTAGAAACAGACGTTGAAGGTGATGACCCAACGAGGGATGTTCCTGATATCCTGAAGGAGGAGTTGTGGAATAGATGCAAGAATTGTCAACGTGGACAGCCCAGATCTAACTATTTCGCAAATGACCGACAGAGCTTTTGCAGTGAGTTCTGCGAAATCATTTTTGCCAAGAAAATGGAGGATGAACGCGGCACTCCGCCCGCAGAGCGAGGGCCTATGCTCGGGCTCTCAAGCCTTCCAAGAAAGCCTCCTTTCAACTACCAAGAAAAACTTGGCCATCTCCAGTTGTATCATGTTGTAAGTGTCTGCGAGGCTAAAGAGGAGCACTACGATCCCGAGGACCCGGACTCTGAGGAAGAGGTTGATCACTCCTGGAGGCTTGATCTATCCATGGAACGAATTCGCCATCTGGAGAATGCCACACCGAAGGAGAAGTTATTGTGGATGATGTGGAATAAATTCGCACACGAGAACTACCCCATTCCATCGTTGTACGCTGAAAGGTATACTAGGTTTACTCTTGAACTGTTCGCTCTGGAGTACGGGAAGCAGGTTGCATTTTACAAGCTCAGAGTTCAGTTTGTAGGATTCTTGCGTGCCCTGCATATACATGGATTAATTGATACCACGGCAATTTTGTCCATTATGAAGTGCCTTGACGGCAAGAAAAAGAGGCGTGATCTAGGCGTCAGCACGAGACCAGAGATGGCCCGAGATCCAAATACAACCGGTGCAAGCAGTCGGGGAGTCAGTAGACCTAGGAAAGGTCGACGGAGAAACGGGCGATCGCGACTCGGATCAGATTAAGAGTGTTAGGTGTTTGTGGTATGAGACCGTCATCACTGCTCCGCAACCCCCACCGTGATGGCAAGAGTTGAGCCCGATTGCCCGAGGCCTAATGCTTGGGCTTACGAGCCTGCACCTTGGTCCGAATCGAAACGATGACAGATAACGAAGTCGTTTGTACCATCAGCGATGAGTCTGACATCATCGAAAGTAGCGGCACCAAGGTACTTCGTAAAACCTACAATTGAGTAGAGCCTCTGACGCGAGGCAAGTCCGAAAACTGCAACGCTTCCGTCACGGCTAGAGCTCACGACCTTTGAGCCATCAATTTGCACGGACATGACTGCTGCTTCATGTTTAGGAAGAGTGCCCAACAATGTACTGTCGTTGAAAGACCACACCTTGAGATTTCCGGCGGCATCCCCGGTGACCAGGACCTGTGTCTCCTCCCAGAAAGCGAGCGCAGTCGTGTTGGAGTTGTGGCAAACCATAGAAAGCAAATGGAATCCGCGCTCGGCTTGATAAGCCAGAACCCTACCGCTTGTGGATCCCAACAGCAAATACCCCTTCTCTGTGAGTGTCATTGACAAGACGGGCTCTCCGACCCTTATCATCGATAGCTCCTCACCGGTATCCAAATGTGACACTCGCACCGTGCCATCAATACTCGCGCTGTATACTCTACTGTTCTTGACATCAAGACGTAAAGCGGAAATCTGGTCTATGTGAGTCTTGATTCTTACTTTGGGTAGAGTCAAGACCCCATCAACCGCTTCACCGCGTGCATCCAGCTCATCCCATAAAGAACGCTTTTCATACCGCTCCGTCTGCCACACAGCGACTTCACAATCCGATGCACCCGCGCTAACCATGTATGAATCGCGGTAGTGTATAGCCGTAACCTGGCCTGTATGAACATGCCGACAAGTCACGCGCCTTCCCGACACTAAGTCAGAAAAGACGACTCCCCCCGATGCCGTTCCCATTACAAGAAAGTCATCCTGGAAAGAGAGCTTGCGGACGTAGTCACGAGTGACAGCGGCGACGACGGAGGCGTCGTATTGTCCCGAGCGCCAATTGCGAGCAATCGTACGATCGCGTATTACCTCCTTGTCACGAAGTAGGGCCAGGCGTCGCTGAAGTACTTGCCAGGAAGCGTCGCTGCTGGGACTGGGGGAAGAATCATCTCTAGGTGGCGGCGTGGCAGAGCACAAGGGGATGCGCGAACGCGGGCGACGTGCCGTGTAGGTGGAGAGTGGAGCTGAAATGAATGTTGGAAGAGACATGGCGGGGATGGATAGCTCAACGCCCGCAAGACTCCGGGACATCGAAGTTTGTGGTGCGGAGGCTAGGTGAGGAAGAGGACGCAACCATATTCCGTCTACTGTACTGAGATGAGGCAATGTAATGAAATCGAGCATGAACGGCATGAACGGCTGCGAAGGCTTGAAACGCGTGCGGGTTTGCCCTTCTCTTGATCTGACTTGAATACGGCTTTGTTTGTCTGGTTGCCCTCTGAAAAGCTTCTCGTCGAGCACGACTTGTGCGGTGCGAGTGTCAATGTCCAGAGAAATGCCAAAAGCGTGAATAAAAATATATCCAAAGAGATCTCGGCTTTGGAGCTGAAAGCACTGACCTTATGCATCGGTGTGGGCATGTGTACAGTATCTATCGTGCAGCGACCCTTGTGTGAAGACCTGGAAATATTAAACAGAAATCTACAAGTTGAAGACATCAGCCCTTGCTGCAGTTTTTTATGAGGGGCAATGGATACATTACAGTACGTTGCTGTCGGCGATGTTTCTCTTGTTTTGGCCATTCCGTCATAGTTACAGCCTGTAACTTACAGATGGCGTCCTCATTGGGTGCGTATGATACTTTGCTGGGATCAATGCGAAAAACAGCCGAAAACCGTGATTTCTCAATTGTCGGAAAGTACTTCTTGTTTTGTTCCTTGTTTGGGCCCCTACTTTACAGTAACTTTACAGTGCCCTTGCATACAATCGATTAAGGCTTCTCCCTCACGCCCTCCTCTCTAGCTAGGATACTGCCAATGAATTCTAAAATACGTTGTGCATTGTACTTCGCTACTTCGTATCACCCGCCACACTCGCTTCATCACCAGGCATCGACGCATCAAGGTCTGAGCTCTAACACCACAACATGGGACGCGGGAAGCCCTTCACCCAATCGGTCAACAGATTAATCAACGCTGGCGTAGTCCCGCGCCCGATATGGCTTTCCACCGTCGAGAACACGAGGCCAGTCTTCGAGCCCATTCGCGAGACAAAGTCGCGAAGGATAGAGTATCCCGAAGATCGCTTGCGACAAATCTTCATGGATCGCAATCCAGATGCCCGGCGCAGGCCCATCGATCTCAAGGCCCGTTCAATTCCCGAGCGACATCTCGCCGATAAGTTCGTCGCCATTCAGAAGAGGTTCATGGAGGAAAATGATATGGCAGAAGAGGAGGCCTACAATTCTGCCTATCGGATCATCAACGTGGATGGCATTCAGGGTGGAGAGAAAGAGGAGGTGTATGGACCGCTCGTCAATCAGGCGGTGCAGGACGAGGCTGCTAGGCTGTATGTGGCTTCTGTTAGGGACTCGATGCGCGACCAAAAACACTTTCGAGCTTTGTTGAAGCAAACAAAACAGGAAACTTGACGCTTTATGGTCGTTCAACTTATTTACTCTCGCCAAATCATGCACTGAAACATTCCAACTGAATCGCGTCAGTATTCGGGCACCAAATTGTCCTTAAGTATCCGCTTGACTGTCCCCATGCCTTGTTTTTGGCTGCCGTTGCAAAGCCATGCTTGCATGTCTGGTCTGCCATTCATTCGGGGACTGGCATCCCTACACCAGTCATGTATACACGCCGCAAGCGCGGTGCAGGTCTGGAGATCTTCGTGATACAAATATGCATCCTTGTCGCACCTCTGATGACGAAGGTCTTAGCTGGCCGCTTTTTCAATGGTTATCAAGAAGTCCTGATCTAGCGGGAAGAGCAACTACTTGATGTCTTATATACTTTTGTGACCATTGAAGAGGAAGAAAGCTGTGTTTTCTAGACGACCTCTCACTATACTTTACACAGGAATGCTCCTGTCTATATGAAAAGAAGAGTGGAAGAATCTCTATAGAATTCAGATGCTTCTCGTCTCAACAGAACCTGTGTACTAAAACTGCGTTTGGTGCCTAAGAATGCGAAATCCTGCTGAAAGAAAGGAGTTGGTGTTATATAAGCGGTGGTGTGTTGCTGGGACCAAAGGGAACAGAAAGATGGACTATTCTTCCACTTTGCAGGCAATAGTATCGCATCACGTCGGGCCCCCAGTAACCCGGTTTGTCGTGGAATCAGGCAGTGGTCATGTGGTACAAAACGAACGTGACACCACATGTCCGCGATCTTTTTCTAAGTATGCCACGCGAAACCTTCGCGCTATACAATGTTGACCTCTAATAAATGTATCCCACTGACCAAACTATTTCACTAGATGCTCGCAGGTGCAATACTAGCTCGGTAATTCAGCCAGATTCTGGTACAAGCTCGACAATAGTTCTGATCAAGGCATTCCCTATTGGCGCAAGCTTCGCTGCATTGCTACAGCGGGAATGGTACTCTGCCAAGAAGGCCGGCTAGATGGTATGAGCATGTGCCCAGCCCGAAATCATTTAGGATTGTAGCAGAGTTTTGCTGGGGCACCTCTCTGAAGCCGAACACCAAAAAACAGAAAATAAGACGTACAGGTTGCCATTATCCACGGTCCCATAGAGACTGGATAATCACCCAACAGACCTTCTCCTCGTCAAATTGTCTGAGGATCGTCTTCGGCCAGGAGTACGCCAGTTCGTTTCCGCCTTTCCTCTATTCCTCCTTTGCAGTCTTGCTTCTCGTTTTTCCTTGCGCTCAATTCGCTCCTGCTCCTCCAGAGTGAGGCAAGTCACTGCAGGTTCCCAACGTATAAGCTCTTCAACAGGTCTGACTACGTCCCCTTCCGTTAAGACAGAGCACCTTTGCCGCTTGTCCCTAAACTCTCCCAATTCAACAAGCTGCTCTCGTATGGCGTGCGCAACGGCTGCGACATGCTCAAAATTGAGGCCTAAATCGGCGCACAACCTCTCTGCAAACGCCTCAGGAGAATTCTGAGGTTCGTGTAAGTCCCATTCGAACTGGTCTCGAATGACGATACGGCCAATCCTCAAATCCAAATGTACAACATGCCTGCATTCTCCCTTTGTCGAGGACGGCGGCGGCACGAAGGCCGAGATCTGTTCTTGCATGGCGTCAGCGATTTCATCGCGCCCCGAATCTGCTAAGCCCAAATCGTAGGCCAGCTGAGCTGCGAAAGACTTTGGAGTCATGTGCTTCTCTCGGAGATTCCATGTGAATGATTCCTGGACACGACGACCGTCCAAATTTAGATCGAGGCGAATTGGCACAAGGGGTTCGGTTTGCGGGCCGGCGTTCCTCACATCTTCCCCTTCAACTGATGTGCGTGAGCGTTTCGACGAGGAACCATGTTTTCCACCGGCTTTCATATGGAGTTTGAAACAAAAAACGCCAATCCCCCAAGTACACCGCCAAGGTTATTCGCAGGCATGAGCAGTCTCACGTCAAGGAGAAGCGTAAACGCGTAGCTGTTCCGTGCCAAAAATACTGGTTGAGAAAGGTCTTTCCACGTGTAGTACTTGTCCAACCACTCAGCACATTCCTTACTGATTTGGAGAAAAAATTTAGTTTATTTTGTTTTTGAAGTCAGTGCTGCCGGCATGTGCGAAATCATTTCAGTGGTTGTTTCTGAACAAGTCTCCACAATGCACATGATGGCTTCAGGCTGATGGCTTCAGGCTGATGGATTCAGAACATGAAGACCATGACGTTGAAACAAGAAACAGTCATAGAACACACTCATTGCCTAAATGTTCACCAGTTGATTGGTCATCTTCGGCCTTGGCGAGCCCCGTCCTCCGACGCCCCCAGCCCAAACCTGTTGTGCCCCCGAACATGACGCCTGTACCCCTGCGGGGTGTGTTCACCACGTGTTCGTCTTGTCCGATGTGACGAGCGAGCCCTACGTGTTTCAGCCCTGTATTAGGTTTCGGCCTCACATTCTGCGAGTTCGAAGACGGAGAGAATTTTCGAACAGGAGCATAAGTTATGGGCTCACGGCGTCGCCTCATGTCCTCTGCAAACCTGCGCAAACGGGACGCCAGTCCCACAGAAGACGTTCTTCGAACGTTGTTTTTTCTCTTGGCTACTTTCCCTTTACATTTGGGGGGATTCAAGCTCTCTTGTATGCTCATACACATAACTCTCCTTCTCCCGTCGTTAGAATTAAGCGGTAACATATTGAAGCGCATGCTTCCATTGTCGAAGTCTTCCATGCTTGAACTCCAACGCACCCTTTTCTTATTCTCATGTTCCTGAGGAATGCATGAAGCCCACTGGGATCAGAGAGCTCTACGACTAATTTATACTCGCTGTAGTTCAAGGCCCAAGACTCGCTGCTCTGGTTTGCGCCTTTTTTAACAACCCAGTGTCCGCTATATGTGGCATTTACTCTATCTTTTTTGCAGGCGTGAAACCTCCTGATTAGTGACTTCCACTCTATTGTAGAGTCTACTCCGCGTGAATAAAGCCGCCGTCACTGTACGCTTTCTGCGCACTTCAAATTTGCCAACTAGAATCGCACATGTCCTTGGTGGTCTGAGTATTCAGGCGTCATCCACGTCGGACAAAAACTGGAATTTCGAAACATTTTGCGTCCTCGAGACGCGATTTGCATCAAGACGCGGACGTGGCCATGATAATTGAAGTTGAGGCAACATGAAACACGAATTGCAGGTACCTCTTCTTCTTCGAAAAACTGCCATTGGACAGCATTTCGCTTTGCGTGTTGTAGTTTTCGAAATATTTCAGACCAATGCTACAGAAATATGCTCATATCGCCTTCCTTCCAGCTGCCCGACAGACTTGATATCAAGAGGCCCACGGCCACCTCAAGGTCGCATACATTTCCGCAAGCAATGACGCTGTTCTTCTCCTTCCATCAGCACGTGCGAACGCATTGGAAAACGTTGTGCGACTCATGAAACGGAGTCAGGCAGCCGTTGGCGTCGGTCAGCATGGCGCTGATATGTAAGGTATCTAAATTTCTCAGACTCATGTGTTTCGAAGTTAAACGCGGTATTTCTACATTTCGTCACTCAGCCTCGAGGTGTGGAACCCCTAAATGTGGCTTTCCCAATTGGCGCTCACTTTTCATCATCCTGCCTCACGTGAGAGGTACTGAAAGTCGAAAACATCACTGAACGTAATTCATCGAACAACTCGCTTTCTTATGCTCATAATCGGGCGTTGAGGCAAACTCCTCCTCCTTCTCCATGTGATCCACAAGCGGGACGATCAGAGAACTTGGTGTCATGCCAGTCGTGTGGAGAAGGAGAGCAGTGGGCCTGGAAGATCTGGGAAAGTGCTTGATTTCTTCCACCGCCCCATGATAATCGTCTCCGTCGTGACTGTCCACAAATTCTCAATCGCTATTTTATGCACGCGCGGCGGCTTCCACAAGGGCGGCAGTTCAATGTGTTCGGGCACGTGCGAGCGCATCTCACAGCAATGCCTACCAATTGTCCCGACTGATATTTAACTTTTAGTTGTTTTTGGTGGTGTTCTTGGAGCAACACTGTGTTAGCATTAGATGTCGGAAACTGTCGAATGGTGTCCATGGCCTGAAGTATAGTCCGCAGAAACACAAGAGTGTCCCAAATATGCATATTATTACAAAAATGCAATAATTATATTTTTGTATGGCACTCGAGTTTTGGTACAAGCTCCATGAGCCGTGACATCAACAAGCAACATCACCCATTTCCCGGGCGCTTCCAATCATCCTTTGTGGACTGAGTTGTGTGTGTGGTGTGGACTTTGCCTTGTTCTGTGTGCACGGCTTGTCCCCGGCGTTGGTGAAACTCAGTCCACGGGCAGGGCGCGCCAGGCATGTCGATCTCGCCTGGAACACGATGGTTTGGGCATATTTCAGAAACGAGGAAGTTCAACTCCTGCGGTGTGGAGCGAGAGAGTGCGGTTCAGCCGCTGGGAGCTGCGGTATATGGCCTTGGAGAGTACTCACCTCCTCGCTGCTGTTGCATTACATAACCAGAGTCTCGACGTACGAATTGCTTCACGATAGCAGTGGTTGGGCTGGTGCGGCTCCATGCTCCCTCTTGGAAACGCCAGTGCTGCCGCTCTGCAAGTTTATTGTGTAATATTTGTTTAGAGTCAGAATCAATAATATATATTATTGATTCTGACTCTAAACAAATCGCCTCAAGGTGGAATCAAGTCTAGTGATCTCGTGCTCTAATCGATTCACGAGGCCAATACAATATCATATTGTCATCTTGTTTGTTTGCTGAATGGTACGCATGATGCGTAATTCTGAGGGTTACGGTGTATTGCACTGTACTGAACATCTGCGGAAAAGGGTTTTGTAAGCAGTCCTGTTTGTTTGCCCACGTTCGTAATACCACAGGAAATCCACTTCGAAAGAACTAAGACAAAACGACAAGTGCAGAATGAAAAACATTTCATGCTTTTAACTGTATTTACAGTTTGCGAGTGTCCAACATTGTACAGTAGTTACAGTGCTTCTCCAAGCGCCAAACCCAATACTGTATCAGTTTTCAAATGAAGTCACTTTCGCCTCCTTCAATTCTTTGCAGTGTGGTTCCATCCGGATAGGACAACACAGTGGGTACAAGTAAGTAAGGCACAGCCACATAAAGTCACCGCCGGCCGCTCTCCCCGAGGTAGGAGAGAGCATCAGTGTTAATGGCGTCCACACACAGGATGTGGTCAGAGTGTAGTACACTGTATTGTACACTCAGTGTACAATTTATTTTAGATAGATAGAGGTTCGCCCCAGTAGCACAGTGCTGTAAGGCGTCCCCAGTGTGGAGCAAAGTAATGTCCGCAATACCTGTTGTGCGAATAAGCGCATCATGTGCTTTGACATGAGCTTGTTGTGGCAAAAAATGGAGACACTCATGCGGGAGTAGCACTAAAGAATATCATTACTGAGTTGACTAGAACGCTCATTATTAAACCAGTTGATTGAATGCACTCGTTTTCCAATACGTACAATATTCCATGTTGTACAATTCTGTACCCAAATTCCTACATCTCGGACATGGACAGAATAATACTGACCGCATGAGCCGTGTCTCTGAGACGTCAAAAGGATTGTGCACAAGGATCACAGCATTCTATTGGCTTAAGGAAACGACAAGGTTGCGCCCACCTCCACAATATCTTTATCTCAGGGAATTTCTCTCTGGAGAACTCCGTCAAACCGAAAACACAAAAACGTAGTGTGATTTCCAGACTTCTTGCAACGGCTTTCGTTGACTATTTTACGATAATCATCAACCCCTCAATGCATATTCATAAGAGTCGGAAAAGCTTCAGATGTAGCGAGTTATGTATGCTCATTGCTGTTGTTGCAGTTGTTAGAGATATTTGATGGTTGGTCTGGGAATACGATTTTGACCACTCTATCACCATACATATTTAACTAATCCCGCACAGATTCCACCTAATTTTGTCCATTGTTAAGGGAGCTCAAGGTTAAAGTTTCCTTTTTACGATCAGCGGGCCCGTAACGAGTCAGAGCTTGCCAATAGGATTCCATCCAGTGTTTTGCGATAATATAGAGTCGTGGAACAAACTTAAAGAGGGCTTTGTCGTCCTGTCTGCTTGCTAGACGCCCGATGTTCCAACATGTCAGAAGGGGCATGTCAGTACTTTGGGAAACACGGGAGAAGCGAGGGAGGGGAAAACGCGCCTTCTTTACCTGGTTTATTGTCCCGATCGTTCCTGTTCTTCCTATCGTCACTCTTGCTAGTTCAGCTCATCTACAGTGGCGGGAGTGCCCTCCTCGTCACCGACTCCAGTTAAACGGCAACGATGCTGAAAAGGCAGTAGGCACTAAAAATCGTAATGAAGAGAGAAGGGCGAAAAAACAACCAGTGATGGCCTTCAAAGACCAAAGAAAGCAGATGCAACTAAGAAGACCGATATATATATGCATCGCGAGCGTTGATGCATGACCTGAAGCAGAAATGAACACATCTAAGCATCTACACACAGAAACAAGGGCTATATGTGGATTCAGATTTTGTGTTTAAATGGCCCGATCCTTGTAGTTTATCGCGCAGATGAAGAAAATGACACACTCACATGGCCTCCACAGCTTCTGGGTCAAGCAAAGGGGACGTTTTTGGTTATCTCCATATGCCATCGTCTCACAACGCAAGATCCTCTCTTACTTTTATCGGGTGGCACTATGCAAATAGCAGCGAGTTTAATATAATGTGGTTCCACCCAGATAGGGCACCACCCAAAGATAGGGCACTGCCCTTAAGGCACCGATAGCTTTCACGCAAATAAAGCCGCCGGCGCTCCGACCACCTTCGGGGGTCGGAGGCATCGGTCTGATCTTGGCATCACAGGTTATGGGCACCAAATACACCACTGA